TGGTTTATGATTAGTTTGTGGTTGATGCTTTGTTGTTTATGCATTATTGTCGTTGTTTGATGTTTAAAATCATTTGTCCGGTTCATCTCTCAATTTTGTTTTCTCAATTTCATCGCCAATGATGCGGTGAAATTAGGAAGGCTAAAGATAAAAGCGAGAAAAGTATGAAACCGCTTCACATAGGAGTGAATCACATTATTGGCAATAGAATTGGGAGTAGGGATGACAATGAGGATCAATAAGACAGATATTAATTCTCCATTCCTATTCTCTTATTATAATTTTATCCCATTCTCCATCCTTCATCCCTCATGGAGACTACCCTCCCCATCCCCTAAAGGGTTTAGATTTCCCCAACCCAACTTGGCCCTTTTTTTTATTTTTTATTTTTTATTTTTCAAGGTTCACAGCCAAAGCAAAATACACATTCGATTTTTTTTTTTTTTTTTAGTTCAACAAAATCAAATACACATTAATTAATTAATTAAGAATTTTATTTTAAAATAATCAAATTTATAATCTTGAGACAAATCAAATAAATTATGAGATAGTAAATACTTTTTTAGAAAATTTAGACATAGAAAATTATGAATTAGAGGATTTAGAAGAGTTTGATTTTGAAGAAAAAAGAGACTATTGGAACCTAGAAGATTTTCAACAAATTGTTAACCTAGAATTAGTTTTTGCAAAAACAGAAAAATTAAAGAAAAAACCAGTATATAGAAGAACAGAAAATAATTTAGATGAAATAATCAGATTAGCTGAAACAACAGAAATTTTAGGTGAATAGCTCATGAAATATTGGGAAAGAAATAAAGTTTTAACCAGTTTAGATGTAAAAAATAAAGATTATAGGATTACATCAACACAAATAGATCATACGCCAGCAGACGTAGAAAAATTTAGGACACAGATTAAGGAGTTATTAGATTTAGGAGTAATTAGACCCAGTAATAGCCCACATAGGAGCACCGCATTTATGGTTAGAAATCATGCAAAAATAAAACGAGAAAAAACTAGAATGGTTATAAATTACAAAAGATTAAATGACAATACAGAATATGATAAATATAATATACCAGATAAAGATCAGCTTATAAACAGAATACAAACAGTAAAAATATTTAGTAAATTTGATTGCAAGTCGGGATTTTGGCAGATAAAAATGGAAAAGGAAAGTATACCTTGGACAGCCTTTTGTTGCCCACAAGGACATTATGAGTGGCTAGTTATGCCTTTTAAACTAAAAAACGCACCTTCCATATTCAGCGTAAAATGGATAGTATATTAAATATAGTTTTATATTGGTATATATTTAGCCCAGATAAAAATAGTCACATAGATTATTTATATATAGTATTAGAAGAATTCATAAATAATGGAATAATAATTAGTAAGAGAAATATGATATTAAATAAACGCCATATAGAAGTTTTAGGAATGAAGTTAGGAGATGGAAAATCCAGGCTACAACCTCACATAGTTAAGAAAATTTTAGATTACTCAGATAAATTAGAAGATACAAAACAACTTTAATCATTATTAGGTTTTAAATTATGCACGAATGTACATCCCTAACCTTAGTAAAATAATAGGATCCCTATACAGTAAGACCACACCTACAGGGCAAAAATATTTCAATCCATAAGATATAGCTCTAGTTAGAAAAATTAAAGACATTTGTAGAAATCTATTCGACCTACAACTTCCCCTAGAATCAAAATATATAGTCGTAGAAACGGATGCAAGCCAGTTAGGATGGGGAACAGTATTATTAGCTAAACTTAGCAAGTAGGATAGTAAAAATAAAGAACACATTTGTAGATATAGTTCTGAAAAATTTAAAGAAAAAGACACGATCATGACCAGCTTAGATTTTGAAATAGTAGGAATAGTATATGCAATAAACAAATATAGATTATTCTTACACAAGCCCTTTACAATTAGAACAGACTGTGAAGCTATAGTTAAATTTCATAATAAACTTAATGAGCGCAAATTAAGTACCAGAAGATGGGCAAAATTTTTAGATTGCATAGTAGGACAAGGGTATGAAGTAGAATTTGAACATATTAAAGGGAGTGATAATAAATTAACAGATTGGCTAAGTAGAAAGATTTATTTAGAGAAAGAAAATAACCAGTTTAATTCTTGTGCAAAGGAGAACAACAAAACCATGAACTTTGGGGGATTTGCCCTTCCCATTTATGAAGGCAAAAACAAATTCAGATCATTAACAGGAAACGAGCTAGATCCAGTTCAACAATGTCTTGTAGATAACCTTTGGAACAACCATAACCACCTAGCTAAACGTTTGTCAGCCTTAAACTCTCTTAGTATATATTTTTCAAAAATCCAAAATAAACCTTTGTCTCAAAGCTTTTCTTTCTATGTAGTAACTAAAGGAACCAAGCCTGGTATTTACCATGATTGGGTAGAAGTTAAACCCTTAGTTAAATTTTTTTCCATATCTCAGTTTAAAGGATTTTATGATTTTAAGTCAGCTAGTACATATGCCCATAGACAAATAGGGACCAGTTACTTTATTAGCCAAATAGCTAAAGATTATCTGGACACATTGGGCAAGATGCAATCAACCATTCTTGCTACTAGTGGAGTTCTAGTTAGCCAGATAATCGGAAGCAGTAGTACTAACCCTCAGATAGATTCTCAAAATCCTCTCCAAATGTGCAGACATTGTGAAGGCCTTACCAGAAATTTCAAGAAAATTATAGATAAAGGCAAAAGGGTTAGTGAAGAGCTAGACCAGCTCCGAGACGAAGAAAAACAATTGAGAGCTACCATTCGAACCCTAACTAACCAGCTTAAAAAACTAACTTCAGAAAAAGCACCCACTCCATTTCTGGACCTAGAAACCAGACAACTCACCAATGAGGAATTTGAACAATTGAGTGCTAGAATGTATTTCTTCAGGCATTCTATCATTCAATCTTTTTGTGAGAAAAGCCAAGAAATAGAGGACCTTAAACCCTATATATACACGTTAGTTGATGATAGCAAAAATAGTGAGTTAATCACTATACAACAGTTTCTTCAGGACCTCTCCATAGCAGGAGTTCAATGCCCTGGTATAGCTTATTAATGGACTTATCAATGGACTTATCTCTATGAGGATGAAGAGCAGCTCTGCTTACAAGAGGAAAGATGTATAGATAGGCCAGAATATTTTGACAAATGGCAATGTAATTTAGACTTCAGCATCTGCCTTTACCAGATAAATCTAGCAACGTTCGAGCCATTGGAGATAGAAATTAGGGGCAAGACGCGTTATCTAACAGCCTCGCAATTGTTAGATTATGGGTTTGTCTCTAGAATGATCTTCTCAAATCCAGACCAGACAGATAGTTTTGGAAATAAATTTGCTCATTCAGTACTTTGTGTAATGGAAGAGCATCATCTATATGTAGAAGCATTAATTGATAGCAAGCTACCGGAATGGAAAGGAATAAGGTGCATCCCAGCCAAGCATAAAATGTACCTTAGAGGAACTTCAACATTTCCAGGGTACCCAGGACTTCTCGATCGGAGACCCTGGCCATGTAAAAAATTTTCACTCATAGATCAGCTCAACAAATGGAGGAAATTTGCTAATAATCCTCTATTAGCGTATAATGAAAATTATGGACATCTATTTTGCGAAGATAGAAGTCAGAAGATATACTGTAACCTAGCTATCCCAAGTTATCCCTTCAGCAAAGAAACATTCGTCAATGAAAGTCAGTATCCCAACTATTAGCATAGCGTTTCTCATGAGTCACCACTAATGGGAGAAGATGACCAAGATAACTAATGAGTGTTACTGATTTTGAAAAAATAAAAATAAAAATAATTATATAGAAACCCTTAACCACCGAAGATCAATTTGACATGATGACTTTATTCATTTAATTTCAACATCTTCCTCGCAAGACAATACAAATTGTATACAAGACCTATTTGCATACCAGAACCTCCATGTTATATATATATATATATATATATTTGTCAAGACTGATAAATCTAAATAAAATACACATCGATTCAAATTAGTGAAATAAAGAAAAAAAGGACATTTTCAAGAAAGAATCAGATGAAGCATAGTGCTCCTGAAACAGAAACTGAAAATCCTTTCATGGCATTCGGGGCTGTCAATCTTTTCATTAAGCCCTAATTCCATTCCAAACCCTACTTTCTGTAGGTAATGATTTGAATAAGAACTGTACCACGAGGGGAGAGACAGAGAGAGAGAGAGGAGTCACTACATTGAACGCACAATGCCAGCCGAACCTCAGGTATGTCAAAACATATGGAGAAATGGACAGATACCCATTCTTGATGAATAATTAAACTAAGCTACTTATCTATCCTGACGGGTCAAAAAAAGGGAAACCCCATGTATTTCGGGTTGGGCAACCATGGGCAGGGTCAATTGCCATTCCTAATATGGAGTGCAAAATTAAGAAAATGTAACACCACCTGTGTTTTAATACTAGTATACATTGATATATCAATTATTATGATTCAACATTACCTGACCTCATTCGTAAACAAAAACACAACCAAACAAAAGATTGAGTCTCTACAACAAAGCTGAACCACCAATTTTTATTCGAAGAATCATAGCATCCCAAAGAGAGGATACTACAACAATAGAACCACCACAAAGATTTATTGACAGCAACTGTAAAAAAAAAAGGAAAGAAGAATTTTCCCTCCCACCCTCCCTACCATATGCTGTCTGGCCTTGCAGAAAATCATCTTATTTTTCCTACGTGAAAAATACTCACTCACATGCACAATAAGCAACACTGCAAATTCAACTAGAGGGGATCAAAGAGTAGGTTTCAGCCATGCCCACTTTCACCTTGATTATGCCAATAATTCTGTCAATTTTTTGTAACGAAACACATTTCTGAGAGTTTTTTTTGGAAAAATCTGTTTGGTTTAATTACTCTTAAAAAAAGTAGTCGTACAGTATATTTCCAAAAAATTTCTCCCAAAATCAAACCAAACAAGGCCTTTATATCTTTCAAATGAAAATCAAACTTCGATGCAAACACAACCAAGTAGTAACCACAACATGTTCTAATATTCATCTTTCCCTGTGCTCACAACATAATCATGCATACAAAACCACTGAATCATGATTTAGTCCAACATCCATAGTGAAATATTAGTTACATCCATTCTCGTTATCCGGCAATATAGACAAAATCAACCACCTTGTCTTTGGCATGCCTTGTTTTTTGTTTACCCTTCTCATATGCATATTGTAGGGGGAGGCCTTACTCGGATCATCTTCAGCGTGCTTCGTACTGAACGACTGCAGCAAAACATAAAAGTAATGATCAGAAGAACTGCTCAAGGAAAAGGAAAATAGGAACTAGTATGGAGCCTACTAACTTTCAATTTATTCATATGAATCAATACAAGTTTCAACCAAAACCATATGATTCATACCATCAACTCTTAAATTGAGTGTATCTTATGATTCAACTGCAATTCACGACGATTCATTGCGATTGACTACGAATTACTACAATTCACTGTGATTCAATCATGTCTGAATAATGCATGAATAAATATATATCGTGTGTGTGCACGCGCGCAAATTTTGTAAACTAAAATCATTTAAATTCAAGAAAAGTAGGATCGACCTGCACCTGCAAGCATGTTGCTGTACAATGATAGAACTAGTTCTAAACAATCATATAAACAATTCTTGTTTGAAAAATGCTGACATTTCGCTTATGTTTGAGAATGTTGTGGGTCATATTATGTGAGCATGTTGTGAATGATGGCATGTTTCTAGAAACCCTGGTTCCAAACCAAACCGAACTGCGTTTCACTAGTTCGGTCCGGTTTGGTTCCAAGATTTTCATGGTTTGAGTTGGTTCCAAGTTTCATAGAATTGGTTTCCTCCTAAACCAAACCATGCTCACCCCAACGATTCATGATTCTTTCATGTTCAAGAACACAATGCCTATTAAGGTAGTGACAATATGCTCCATAGCTCACCAAGCAATTAATGGCGTAGTCATAATATGGCTTAGCTTCAGTATTCAATTTAATTTAATTTTTTTATTATTATCAAACATGGATTTTTTTATTTTATTTTATATTTTTTCAGGTTGAGCCTTTCATCATCAATTTAGAATTAATGAAGCTTCCAAAAAATAGTGTAATTGGAGGAGGCCTTTCATATTGTAAAGTTTCCACCAACACAGAGTTCCAATGACCTTTTGCATGACCTTTTATATCTATGCAGTGCTTCATCAATAAATTTGACTTTTTGTGTATTAGTCTAACATAGTTGTAATGTGCATAACATGTTTTTGCAACCCTTGCCATGCTGAGCATTGGGTAGTACAAGCTCATATTTATAAATGGCAACTAAGATATCAGACTGAACCTGCCTAGTGTTCTATTAGAAATGTTAGCATCATTTAGGATTGGTATGCAAAAACAAAAGACATTCCAAGCAACAATCTTGAATTGTATTCCAAATTTCTTTTGCCAATACTACATAGGAAGATATTTTACCTACAGTCCACATTGCAACAAAAAAAAGTTTGGTTGATTGACAAACTTCAGAATGTAAACTGACTAATGATCACGAAAATTTAGCTTGTGATAAAACCATAGAGACCATTGTTTCCACCAATGACTTCAAGTGATCCAAGGATGATCATGAAGCATATGATGAGGTCAAAACACCAGATATCTTTAGAATTGAAACAACTCTCAAAAATAAATTATTTCATCGAGTCAACAACACAAAATAACTAGTCCCTCTACAAATTATAAACCAGAGAACAAGGAAGCTAATAGTGCAAACAACTAAAACTAGCCACCGATTTAAATAATGAAAGCATTCAGGACCAACATCCTGGAGAGCAATAATTTATCTGTAACACTGAAAAATCATCCGAGGAAGCTATTTATAACTTACTTCTACGGGTTCGCTTCTTGTACAAGATGCGGTAACCACACTCTCGGCATTGAATCACATCACCAGGCTTTAGAGTGTTTTCCTGCCCACAATCTACAAAATAAATTAACTTAAAACAGTTATCAAGGACCAAGATTTCAGGGATTTACTTATTAGTAGTAGCAAACATGTACCAGACACCCATTTAAACATTTATATTCTTGTCCACAGTAATAATGGGAGTGAGAGCATGAGCATGAGCAAGAGCAAGAGCAAGAGCAAGAGCATGAGAGCATCACTTTTGAAAATTCATAATGTTGAGAGTGCCTCGAGAGCGTCTATATTATATAATTTTTATCATATTTAGTATAATTAAAAAGTGACACTAATAAGTAAAGAGTGCCTCAAGAGAGTCTATAATATAATTATATATTAACCAAACCAAGCCTTAAATCCCATTAAATGGGGTCGGCTACATGAATCATTCTTCTCCATTTGACTCTATCAAAGGCCATTTGGTTAGTCAAAATACGGAGATTCATATATCTATTTACTACACTAACCCACGTCAATCTAGGTTTGCCCTTTCCTCTAACACTTCCATCTACTGTCACTATATTGCATCTCTTCACTACTGCCACTGCTGGTCTCCGTTGTATATGACCAAACCATCTCAATATATTCTCTCTTAACTTATCTTCTATTGGTGCAACTTTTACCCATTCACAAATAAACTCATTTCTAACTCTGTCTTTTCTAGTCCTGCCACACATCCACCTTACCATTCTCATCTCAGCAATACTCATCTTATTTAAATGTTGTTTCTTAGTTGCCCAACATTTCGTTCCTATACAACATCATTGGTCTAATAGCCGTTCTATAGAACTTTCTTTTTAATCTAGTAGGTAATCACCATTAACATTATATTCATTTGTCATTGAGTACATGCATCCCACAGTTTCATAAATGGATCCACGAAATGAGACTGATTAGTTAGCAAATTTAGCCAATTTTTACTCCAACTCCGTTGACCCGCATGTTGATTCGTGATTCGCCACCTCTAGGGGACAGAGTATGTAACTTAGTACCAACCTAAGTAAGAACAAACCAATTCCATGTATTCTTATTCTTCTGTTTTATATTTGTGGAACTAAGACATAAAAGAGTTTATATCTATCAGGCACGGTTCTTAAAATCAGAATCCTATGTACGATCAGTGATAGGGTCTCGTGGATCAGATCAAGGATCATAATATTCTGCTTTCTATTAAAAATAAAGTGAAAATACAAAGAAGGATCCGGCATATTCAAAATAAGGTGAAAAATCACAGATCCAACGATCCTACTATAACACTGATTATACAACGATTAGATCATTTTGGCAAATTAGGATCTACAATCCAAATTGCGAATTTGACAACCATGTTATCAACAGAGAGTTATGTCTCTCAGCATATATATATACACACTATTTATATTATTATCTATATTATCTATCTATATAATAAAGTACGATTGTTTTTGAATTTGTCCCACACACATTTGTCATACTAGGACATTTGGACAGCTTAGATCTATTCAAATTATAAAACAACGGCTGAGATTTATTTTTTAAAAAATATCTTACATGTACATTTTCTATTTTCCCACTTCTCTCTCTTACTTTTTCCTTTTCTCACCCATCCTTCCATGATCCCATAATCCCACATTCCTCTTTTTTTTATTTTTATTTTTTTTATTTTCTCCCATTTTTATTTTCTCTCTATTTGTTTTTTTTTTTTTGTTTTTTTTATTTTCTCCTTTTTGTTCAATATATTTTACACATATTTCCATACAATGTATGTATGTCCGTAATACACTAGGACATTATGGGTATATATACAATTTCGATATAATTATATAAGCAAAAGCAATATTATATGTATGCTCGTGGAAATTGTATGTATGACAGGCACATCTATCTATCTAGCTATATATTCTATAAACAAAAGCGAGTTTTCGTGAGGAATTTTGTGAGAACTCCAAAATTTTATAATAAATTTGTGATTTTATCAAATTAAAAAAAAAATTAAATAGTGTTGGGATTACAATTATATTCTAATCCTAACATTATTTGCACTGTGCCTTCAGGCATGGACATATGCTAGTTCTATTATATAAAGCACACAACTCAAAAGAAGCTTTGTCACAACTTTTGTATAGTTGAAATGCCACTATACATGATAATAACTGCCATAATTATTTTAAATTCCACACACATAATGTGTGCCCACACCTCTATATATATGCTTACACAAATATACACATATATACGAGTGGAAGCATATATATATGGAATTACGAATTGCTAATGGTCTAGCCCGTAATATATATATATATATACTAGAGGAGCAGACACACTATGAGTGTGTGTTGATAGTTATTTGAAACAATTGGATCTGACGCAATTGAATCTAGCATTTTGAAGCAATTAATTCTTCTAGGGTATTTTTGGCGAAATAAAACTATAACAACCACACTAACTCAAGTATTGACTTTATATAATAGTATATATATTCTTTTTTTCTATCTATTCTATTATATATATGCTTACACAAATATACATAAATACGAGTTGAAGCATATATATATGGAATTACGAATTGCTAATGGTCTAGCCCGTAATATATATATATATATACACTAGAGGAGCAGACACACTACGAGTGTGTGTTGATAGTTATTTGAAACAATTGGATCTGACGCAATTGAATCTAGCATTTTGAAGCAATTAATTCTTCTAGGGTATTTTTGGAGATATAAAACTATAACAATCACACCAACTCAAGTGTTGACTTTATATAATAGTATATATATATGCTTTTTTTCTATCTATTCTATTATATAAAGTCAACACCTGAGCTGGGTGAATTGTCATACTTTTTTCTTATTCCCAAAATGGCCCTATACAACCTAACTTTATATAGATTTTGATTTTGAATTATCCAACACTTGAGTTGGGATCAAGTGTCACACTTTTTACTTATTCCCAAAATGGCCCTATACAACCAACTTTATACTTACTCCGACCCAAAATAATAGTTCCTTTTGAGGAATCTAACTTTTTTTAGTAGTACAATTATTGCACTTTAAAAAAATTAATTTTCCAAAATTATCCTTTAATAGTGAATTTTTTAGGGAATATCAATTGTCATAATTGTACTTTTTATGTTGTTAATGAATTTAAAAGAAGGACAAAATAGGAAATTCATATTATTTTTGTCCTTGATTTTTGAAAAATGACTAATATTTTGGGACAATGAAAAATAAAATAAGGGACTAATATTTTGGGACGGAGGGAGTATAAATTTTGACAATTTTTCAGTCCTCCCCACCCCCCTTTTCTACTACATTTCACTGGTTGATTTTCATTTCAATCCCATTGGGTGTGCACACCATCTAGTATATCTATCTATCTATCTATCTATCTATCTATCCTTCCTTCCTTACTATTACAAGTGAAGGCTTCTCATGGTGTTTATGTCTCATGTTTTGTTTCAATTTAATTTTTTTTTTCCCCAAATGTCTCAACTTCTGATTTTTCCAAATTGATTTAAATTTTCAGATTTTGAATTCAATCATAGAATTTACAATCTTATTTTTTGAAACAAAATAATCATATATGCACGCGCCATCGCTCACATATATATAATTTGAGTAATACTACAATTTGTTGGCATGAGATAACAAGGCTGTGCCTGAGCCCAACTACGGAGGGGTAGGGACATATACATACATACAAGCATATATATATATATATAATATAAGTAGAAAGGAAGAGTTAAACGCAAACCTCCACAAATATAGCTCACTGGTTCGGGTTGAGGATCCATCGATGGTGAAATTCAAGGCTCTGTGACGACAGCAGAAGGAACTGTTAGGGTTTTATGGCATCTACGACTAGCAATATAACAAATCAATTATCCAAAAAAATTCAAAGCAATGTAAAGAGGATCTCAAGACCCAAAAGTCAAGACGAAAATACCAACCTTTTGATGAGAGAGAGAGAGAAGTTAGCGTTTCAGAGAAAATGGGTAGAAGTGGTTAGGGTTTTAAAGAAAACGTGGACCGTTCGTGGAGTAGTGTGGTGCGATGTTTTGAAAATTGGATCGGTGTGCGAACTAGAAAGTAGATCGGATAGACGGGTCATCGGTTTAATCGTCGGGTCAAAGTAGTCGAACCGTGACGTCATAATTAATATTATATAATTAAAAATTATAAATAAATAAAAATATATATAAATATTTAAATAAAAATAAAATTATTGTATAATATTTATTAATAATATTTAATAAAGTCATAATTGATAAAAAAAAATCACATGTTTTAAAAAAATTAAATTTTTTAAACATTTCCTCCAAATAAATTGATTGAATAGGCTTAATTTTGGAGGGAAGTGAAATTTTCAACTCTCCCTCCAATCATTATGTTTCAAATAATTTGATTGAATCCCACATAGAATTTTGTAGGTTTTCTTTAAAAAATATTTTTCCAAGGCCTTGTTGCAGTCAAATACATTAAACTCCCCACAATCTGCTTGTAAAGAGTGTTGTCGACCTTCGTTCCTCCATTATCTTTGTTTAGCTTTAAGCCAAACTCAGATGGTGTAGTCACAGGATTACAATCCTTCATTTGGAACCTGTCCAAGATTTCTCCCACGTACTTCTTTTGAGAAATAAAAATTCCCGTAGACGACTGCACTACTTCAATGCCAAGATAATAATGCATCATGCCAAGATCGGACATCTCAAATTCAACCATCATGGATTTCTTAAAACTTTCAAACATGGCTGTATTATTTCCAGTGTAGATTAAATCATCTACATATAAGCAAACAATAAGCATGTTCCCTCCTTCTTCACTTTTTATAAAAAGTGTATGTTCATAAGGACATTTTTGAAATCCTTCCTTCAAAAAATAAGTCTCTATGCGATTATACCAAGCTCGTGGAGCTTGTTTTAATCCATATAGAGCCTTTTTTAACCTATACACTTTATGTTCATTGCCAAGTTTCACAAAACCAGGAGGTTGATCAATGAATACCTCTTCTTTCAAATCTCCATGGAGGAATGCTGATTTCACGTCCAATTGGAAAATAGGCCATGAGTTTTGAGCTGCCAATGCAATTACCAATCTGATTGTGTCATGCCTTGCAACCGGAGCAAAGACTTCTTTGTAATCAACACCAAACTCTTGCTTGTAGCCCTTAGCCACCAAGCGGGCTTTGTACTTGTCAACTTCACCATTCTCCTTCAGCTTTGTCTTGTAAACCCACTTTACACCAATTGTTTTGTGCCCTTCTGGAAGATCAGATAACTCCCATGTATCATTTTTCCTTATGGCTGCAATTTCTTCATCCATAGCCTTCCGCCATTTTGATTCTTTGACAGCATTTTCAAAAACTGTAGGATCACAGTCCGAAAATAGTGCAAAGTGAGTGAGTGCATCTTCAGATTAATCAATTCTGGTTACCTCATAGTCTGACATCCACGCCGGTCTTCTTCTGGCACGTTGAGGTCGTTCCTCTTCTTCGGTAGCTGCTGGAATTGGCTGCTGTTCATTCTCCACCAGCTGGTGCTAGGATTGTATAGCTTATAAGCTTTTGATTGATCACTAACACCAAGAAAAATGCATTTTTCTCCCTTATCATCTAGCTTTCTCCTCTTCTCGTTTGGAATATGGGCATATGCAACACACCCAAAAATTCTGAAGTGACCCACCGCTGGTCTTCGTCCGCTCCATGCTTCCTCCGGTGTTATATTTTGAACAGCAAAAGTGGGACTTCTATTCAAAATATGAATACTCCAATTTACTGCTTCAGGCCAAAAACTTTTTGGAACTCCACTTCTTAACAAAAGGCTTCGCACCATATTCATAATAGTGCGATTTTTTCTCTCACAAACGCCATTTTGCTGGGGTGTATAAGCTGCAGTAAGTTGCCTCTTGATTCCATGGGTCTCACAGAAATTTGCAAATTAATGTGAGTTATATTCTCTACCATGATCCGTGCGAAGAACTTTTATGAGCTGTCCAACCTCTTTCTCAACTAGAGCTTTGAAGCTTTTAAAGGCTACAAAAGCTTCAGATTTTTCCTACAACAAATAGACCCATATCTTCCTGCTATAATCATCAATGAAGGTAATTATGTATCTTTTACCTCCATTGGAACATGGAGTTATTGGCCCACAAATGTCGGAATGAACAAGTTCCAATGCCTTCTTCGCTCTCCATGATTTCCCTTGTGAAAACTGATTACGGTGTTGTTTGCTAACAACACATTCTTCACAAACTTCAGAGGGAGCTGTGATTTGAGGAAGACCAATCACCATATCTTTCTGCTGTAGTGTCTTTAGTCCACCAAAGTTTAGGTGGCCATAGCGAAAATGCCATAGCCATGCTGCATCCTTTAATTTTGCTGAGAAGCATGAGTGAGTGGTGTTGTTGAGATACAATGGAAACATTCGGTTGGCTGTTATGTTTACTTGAGCCACCAAGCCCAATTTTTCATCTACAATTCTGCAGACTCCATTTTTGATAGAGATTCCATATCCATTTTCTTGAAGTTGACCAACACTGAGTAAATTTGTTCTCAAATCTGGAACAAAAAGGACATTAGAGATAGTTTGAATAGAATTTTTGTTGGTTTGAATTGCTACCTTTCCTTTTCCCATAACAGAGACTTTAAAATCATCACCAAACTTCACAACATCACGAAAGGCTTCGTCCAACTCAGAGAATGCAGACTTCTCTCCACACATATGGTTGCTGCAACTAGTGTCTAAGTACCACAGATTCTTGTGGTTTCCTCCTTCACGTGACACACCATCAAAAGAGACACCTCTTCTTCCTTTTCTGCAAAGTTAGTTCTTTCTCCACTTTGTCTATTCAAATTAGTTTGACAATCCGACTAATAATGACCATACCTATGACATCTGTAGCATTCAACATTGGACTTGTCTGCTGACTTTGGTCTAGTTGATTGATGGCCTCCACGTCCTCTTCCTCTTCCTTGAAATTGATTATTTTGGTGATGGTTTTGTTGTTGATTTCCACGATCATTGTTGTCTCTGCCTCCTCTACCGCGACCTCTACCTCTTCCTCGTCTTCTATCAACTCTACTTGGTGTAGAGTGATTTTCAGATGAGACCTTCAATGCATGTTCCTCTTTCTCCTGTTGGTTAATTTTTTGCTCATGAACCAACAAAGAGCTTTGCAATTCATCAATTGAAAGTTCATCAACATCATTAGATTCTTCTATAGAACAGACAACAAAATTAAATTTTGGTGTCATGGATCGAAGATTCTTCTCAACAATGGTGACATCCTCTGCCTTGTCTCCATAGATCCGCATCTTGTTGACGATTACCATCGTTCTTGCAAAATAATCTGTCACCGACTCTCCTACTTTCATTCGAAGCATTTCAAACTCCGAACGAAATGCTTGAAGCTGCTGCCTCTTCGCTCTTGTTGTCCCTCGATACTTTTTCTTCATGGGATCCCAAATATGCTTGGAGGTATCCTTGCAAAGAATTGTTTCCAAGATGGAGCGATCAATAGCTTGGAAAAGATAATTCTTTGCCTTGAGATCTTTCAGCTTCAGTGCTTCAAGCTCTGACTTCTGTGCATCTGTCAGCACAACACCTTCGGCTGGTTCTGGTATTCCAAAAACAACCATCGGCCAGTATTCTTTGGATCGCAAGAAGTTCTCAATTAGCATGCTCCAATGATCATAGTGACCATCAAAGCGAGGAATGGATGGTTGCACAAAATTTTCTGAAGCCATCGATCTTGTCTGCTATTGCAAAAGAAAAAAGGTGATAGAGAAATAGAACTGCTGCTATATCACTCTCTATCTCACTTTTTCACTCGGAGGCTCTGATACCACTGTTACAAAATGAAGAAGAGATATACTTTTACACATAATAAGAGCTGGAAATAGTATATTAATCTGCTCATATTTATTGATAAACCAAACAGCCATTATATAGGCAAGTAAACAAACTGATAGTAGCAAGAAAACAGGAACTACTAAAGCATGAAATTAGGAACTGCAGTGACTGCATAGTAGGCTCAACTTACTCCTAAAACTAAGCCAAAGTAGGCCATGTACAGCAACTAACTAGGAATAGCAGTAAACAAACTTAATAAAGACTAGGACAACTCCTTGATTTTTCTAACATAAAGATGATATTATAAACCTATCAGATTCAAGGGAATACAGAAAAATGCACAGAAGGAAATAGATGATTTGGATTTGTTGTGTGTTTGTGCTTTTATTTTTTATTTGTGTTTTTGTTTTTGTTTTTTGTTTTTTGTTTTTATATTTTTGGAAATAAATAATATGAAAAAATTCAAAAATACTTATTTGTGTCTTGTGTAATTTTTTTTATTTCCAAATTTTTCTAACAAAAATTACATTTTAACTGATTGAATTTTTTTGATTTTCTCAACTATTGTGTTATATTTATGCCGCATAATGATATGTGGTATCACTTCTAGTTATCACCTCCTCTACTTACCAAATAAGTCGATTTTCAAATTTCATTTGATAACATTGTAATTTTTTATTTTGTTTTATCCATGAGGACATACTTAGATAAAATAACTAAACTAAAATATCCCTTTTATATATATACGTAAACGCGATTTTGAAACAAACCAAACTTTCCTATATCTCTCTCATTCCACCTCTTCATCTCTAGACCGCCATAGGCTGAGATCCATATAGATTCGTTGCCATCGCCGTAATGGAGTGAGGTGCTTGGAACTCCGCTACTAGAACCCTAACCCCAGGCGAGTTTTGCACCATCACCATCGCCCATTCCTCCAGTTTACCTCATCTCTGATCTAGCTCTTTCTTCTATTTTCTCTCTTTTATCTCTCTTCTCTCTTCTCTTAGTTTTCTCTGATCTAAACTACCACCACCGCTGCCCATTTCTCTGCCTCACGTTTCGGTAGGTAGATCTAGTTGAGCACGGCAAATCTGAACCCTAGCCACGTCGGCACCACGGCAACAATGATCGACAAAAATGCTCAAGCGACCACCTCGTTGGTGAAGGGGACGGCGTCGTCCTTGCTACT